AACCCTCCAGTGAATCCCTCCTGAGCCCTGCCTGGTTATTTGACAGGATGTATTGTCGTTGATTATGGCAGGCAACGGTTAAAATGTAGTCACTTGATCTCCTTTTTGGATCCATTTTAAATTTGCTCTAGCTTTTAGTATTTGCTGCTTTTCAATGGAAGGTTTTTTTCTGTTTTATTTTGTTATTGTTAGTTTGTTTTCAATGTTTTCCTTTATGAAATCCAGGCAAGGACAATCTACAGAGACCGTAGCTGGATTAATGGTTCCTTGGGGGCATGGCAGGGCAGGCTGGGGGAGGGGATGAGGAGTTAATAACGATGAGTATGATAAAGAAGAGAATGTTCTGAAACTGTGATGAAGACTGTACAACTCTTCTTGATGTGATTGAATTGTATGATTGTGAACTAGATGCCAATAAAAAAGGAATAAAGAAAAAAAAAGTATAACTGTCAGTCGGTTTCTTCCGTCCTCTAGCACTGCTTCACTAGTTCAAAATGGAACTAAAAGAAGGGACTTTAGAATATTCATGTTTTCCTTTCAGAAGCACACAAAGGAGTGAACAACCCTGCTGAGCTTTCCCTCGATGTCCCTGCCAGGGGTTGTGCCCGCGAAGCTGTGGAATCCGACCCTCTGCAAGTAGTGCCTTGTAAGAAGTACTGGCGTGGCATGTGTGGCATCCCAACTCGCTTCTGGTTTTACTAGCTAGGGAAATCTTTTCCAGAGAAAATTTTTTAAAAAGGGGGTCTAAATGGACTTCTCGACTTTCTCCCAGAAAGTTCCTCCAAATACAAGAAAAGGAAACATGAGACAAAGAGGGGGCCCATCGATCAAGATAGGCCAAATTGGTCTCCATTTGAGAAGCTTGTCCAATCCCGTTGCTTTAAACAGGCAATGCCTCAGTACATAGATTATAATGTGCTGTGCTCATTAGAACTCCAGGGATTCTTTGTCCAGGCTTTGATGTGAACTGGGTTCGCGGATCAGTGTACCTGCCGCCACCCCTTTTAGCAACTGGGCCCGGGAAGAGAAGCCACTTACCCTCACGGGGTGGATGGTGCGCTCTCAGGAGCATCCTGGGGATGTCCAGTCCTGCGCTCTTCCCAGGTTGCTGTTAGGTATTGTTGTGTCTGTCAGGCAGCCAGCCAGGGCCAACTCTGGTCACAGGTTTGCTGCCTGTATGGGGGAGAGAGCCTGAAGAGAGGGTTTCAGGTGCACAGAGGTCAAGCCTGCTTGTGAAATGCCCTGTTTCCGTTTGTACAATCTGTTGTTAATTCTGAAGGATTCTTTTGTATGGAAAGGATTTCTGGCTGAGGTTTAGAAGCCACCCTCACCCTAGGCTGAAAGGCACACCTGTATTTAGGGAAGAGTTTACAGTGATCTCGGGACTATCTTTGAGGGTGGGAATTTCCTCTACCTTCAGGGGTTGGTTATATGGCTGGGTTCCCAGTCTCCCCACATCATCTTGCTTAACCCATTGATAGATATACCTGCACAAGCATGGGACCTGCTACCTGAAGGATCCACATCGATGTCCCACCTTCATCACTTCTGACCTGGGTGACTTTGCCTTTGTTTCCTGGCCAAGGCACGATCATACCTGCCCTCCTATCTCCTGAAGTTCACACACAAATTAAACACAGGAAAGTAAATCGAAAGCCTTGGGTTTTCAGAGTGTCATGATTACTTTAAGTGGTTGAGCGCTCACTCGACAGCTACTCACCCTCAGGGGGGCAGTCTGCTTCTGTAAAGATTTAGACTTGGAAACGTTATGGGGGCAGGTCTTCTCTGTCCTATATGGCCACGACAAGAGGAAATCAACTCTGTGGCAATGAGTATTGCCTGGGAAAGCCTGCTCATGTCCCTCTATACTGCCACTCAGAGGGAGCGAAACGCTGTTCTGCCATGCACGGTTCCAGGTGGGGTAGGCCCCTCTTGCTACCCAGAAACTGCACACATTAACATTTGCATATGCAATCAACTAAAAATGTTAAACTAAATTCAGTCTCCTTTATTATAATTCCTGTCCAAGTCCATTCCTTTTCCACCACCACCCCACCCCATGCAACCATGAGCATGAATTCCAGGCCATGTTCTGACCCTTTTACTGAGCACATGCATGCACTGTCCCCCAAGTACAGCCCTACCCTACCCTGTCCTATCCTCCCTATCACACCCCACCTCACCCATCCATCCCTATCTCACCCCATCTCATCCAAACCACTTCGTCCTCCCACTCTATCTCATCCACTCCACCCACTCACCCCTCCTCACCTTCCACACCTCACCTCACCCTCCCCAGCCCAACCCACCCTCTCCATCCCACACCACCTCCCCTCACTCTCCTCATCCCACCCCCTCCCCCTCCCCATCACACCCCACTTCATCCACCCCACCTCACCTCACCCTCCCCATTCCACCTCACCTCACCCTCTCCATCCCACCCCACCCACTTAACCCACCCCACCTCACCCTCACTTTCCCCAACCCTCTCCCTCCTCCCCCATCCACCCCATAAGAATGACCAGGAGACCTTTATTTATTTATCTCTGGGAGCAAGTCACTTTATTGAAAGATAAGTGAACTTGCTGTAACTGATGGCACGCTTGTGCTGCACCGGGGCCACTGGAAGTCACTCCGGGTCTCCGAACTGGTTCTCCTTGTCGCTGTCTCCGAAGTTGAACTTGGTGTCGAAGTATTCTTCCAGGCGGGCGTTGTCGTCAGTCAGCCAGCGCAGGTGGTTCAGGTGCTCGCCCAGCTCCTGGACGAACTTGGCCTGCTGGTGCATACAGCGGCTCTCCAGGAAGCCGCACAGCTCCAGGTCACCCCAATCAGCCGCCAGCTGGTGCAGGTCGCTGAGGCCCTGCTGCACCCTGGTGGCCAGGTGGAGGGCTCGCTCCAGGGCGTGGAGCCCGCTGCCCCAGTCGTCGGTCTCGGGCTTGGGGATGTCGTGAAGCACAACGCGGCCCCCGCGCTGGTTCTGCAGCAGCAGCAGCAGCTCGGCCTGCTGGCGCGCCTTGCTGGCTTGGCGCTGCCAGTAGGCGGCCAGGCAGGTGAGCGCCACATCGTCGCGGTAGAAGTGACAGGCCATGGAGAGCAAAGTGTAGGCAGCGTGCAGCTCCAGGTTGGCCTGCCGGTTGAGGGCCGCCTCGCAGGCCTGGTGGTAGCTCTGCAGCACCTGCGACGGCGACGGCGGCGGCGGCGGCGCCTGCTCGGCGGGCAGCATGAGGCAGGGGGCGACGGCGCGGCCCAGACGCAGCTGGCAGCGGCGAGGGTTTGGGCGGCCTGCGCGGCGGCCGCTGCGGATCACACCCAGGGTGCGAGGCTCGGGCACCAACTCGGGCCCAGCGGACAACGATAAGAACCCTGGCAGGGAGGGGAATGCCCACCCAACGGCTGGCCTCCTTATATAGGGGCCAACAGGACCTGGATGTCGCGACCGTTAGGCGCTGTGGGCTCCGAACGCGGGCTTCCAACTGCGCCTGCGCCAAGTTCCGGGAACAGGGGCTCGGCCCTCAACAGCCATTTTTTTGTGATGAAATTTTATATATATACACACAAACACATAAACATATACATAATTTTAAAAATCATATTATTGGGGGCTCATACAACTCATCACAATCCATACATACATCAGCTGTATAAAGCACATTTGTACAATCGTTACCCTCATCATTCTCAAAACATTTGCTCTCCATTTAAGCCCTTGGCATCAGCTCCTCATTTCCCCTCTCCCTCCCTGCTTCCCCCTCCCTCGTATATATAATTTTAAGATCATAAACAGCACTCACTCACTCACTTACTCACTCATTGTTATTGGGTCAATACCAACTCACAGTGACCCTATAAGGGCAGGGTAGAACAGCCCCTGTGAGTTTCTGAGATTGTAACACTTTATTGGAGTGGAGAGCCTTGTTTTAATTCCGCTAAGTGGGGGTGCTTTCAAACTGCTGACCTGATGGTTAGCAGCTCAAAGGGTAACCACTGGGCCACTAGGGATCTATGCAAAACACCAATATTGAGATCTAATTCACATATCATGGAATGTATCCATTGAAAATGAACATGTCAGTAGTTTTTCGGTGTTCATGGAACTGTTTCCATCAACACCCCAAAAAGCCTAGTTACTCATTTTCAAAGAATCCCTGGTGACCCAAAGGGGAAGCCTTTGGCAGCTAACCGGCAGGTGGGTTTGAATTCACCCAGTAACTCTCCAGGCCTGGTGCCCCATAAAGAGTACAGCCAAGGAAAACCTACGGAGCAGCTAGCCTCTAACACATGGGGTTACAAGTGGCTTCTGACTTCACTGCTATTATATATAAAACAAAAGGAATAATTGTGGGATTATAAACAGACTTTTCCCGAGCTTTGTCTCCCCCCAAAGACATGCCAAACATTAGAGGCTATTTCCAAGCATATGGTGGGAGGTCAGATGTTTAGAGATATCCTCCCTGAAGGCAGTCAGTTGCCAGACTACTGTCTGGTCCCACCCCAGGTAGAGCCTACTCCTGGCTGTTATGGACAATGGGCTACTTCTCCCTAAAGGCTTGTGACCATTAGCTCGGTTCCTATAGGTGGGGTTTGCACCCTACTGATAATGGTTTCTATGGAGATCCAGAGAACGGCTCAGTGACATCCAAAGTTAGGCTGCTATCCTGAATCTAGGATATGCCCATCTTTTCACATGTATACCCGCAATCCCTTCTCTTCCTATTGTGTGTATATCCCTAGATTGTCCCCCTCCCGTTGCTGTATTGCCCATAGTGCAACCCCTTCCTGTGACGTATGTCTTTACCTGTAATTAGGGGGCTTGCATGACCCCCCCAAAGGTATATAGGCCTGGGTTAGCAATAATGAGCTCTCTCAGTCTCCCCTCTGGGCCTCTCATCAGTTCCCCCTCTCTTCTCCCGTCCTCGCTGCCCTGTTCCCTTTCCCCTTGTCCTCCTTCCCTTCCCCTTATCTCCACATGAACCTCCAAGCAGGGCTGAGGTGAGCATGCTACCATGAAATGTGTCTGACTCCATTATTTCAATCTCTCTTCTATCTCTCATGCTCTCTATGACTTTATTATAATCTTTATATATCCCAACAGTACAATTGCACCTATCGAACCCGTGATTAGTTGTGGGGGGCTAGCCCTACTCCCACAACAACCCATTAGCAGTCATTCCCCATCTGCCTTCCCCACAATCTCTGACCACTAATAATCTACTTTCTAACTCTATATCTTTGTTTATTTTGAATTTTTCAAATTAATGGAACTTTGTGCCTAGCTTTGTCACTGGTGAATTTATAGGCACGGTGAAATTCCCGCCTTCAAGTCCACCATCTCCGAAGTCATCCCTTCCAACAGCACAAAAGGAGCAAAAAAGCAAGATCTTCCACTTACTCTTAAAGGCCTTAGGCCAGAAGTAATATGCACTTCAGCCCAATCTAATGTCAAGGGAAACTGGGAAATACAGGGAGGAAAACATGCAATATTCAGTGAGCAATCTAGTTTCTGCCATGCATGTTTTATCAATTTCTCCTAGTTGTTAGAAAAGTTCTTGAGAATTCACATTTTTGACATCAACACCGTTTTTTATTTACTGTTTATACTGCAAGACTTCTTTCGGGGGAAAAAGAAACTGATAAATTAGTTTTTGTGTGAAAGCATGCTACAACAGAAATATCCCAAGTGAGTGTCTTTAAAGAACAGAAATTTATTTTCTTATAGTTCCGGAGGCTAAAAGGCCAAATCAGGACCAGATTTTTCTTTGGTTCCATGACAATCCCCACATAACATATTTCTTCCCTAGTACTCATATATGCTTCGCTTTTGTGTCTAAGCTGCTCTTTTTTAATAACTGAGGTGAGAGGAGGTTTAGGACACCCTCTACATTGATACGACCTTATTAACATAACAAAGAAACCCCTGTTTCCCAAAAGGATTACATTTTCAGGGTTAGGGATTAGGATTCTAACAGCTATTGGTGGATGTGGGGAAGTGGAGAGGAGTGGGTGAAACAATTCGGTCCATGACAGATATGGTCAAGGTATAATATATTTGACTTGCAGGGAGATGGGCTGTGCTTTCCTTCCTTCCATTTAGAATTTTGCTCTTGGACAACTCTCCCTCTGAATCTGACCTCTATGCTATGCGAAGCTCAGATCACAGGAAGAGGCAGGCAAGATGGCAGGGAACTGAGACAACCGACAACACACCGGCCAGCCAAGGGCAGCGAGATGTTTTGGATGACCTAGGTGACTCTCACTGCCATCAGGGAAAAACAAACAAAAAAACAAAACCGGATTAATCAAGTTGGCAAAGTTAGGCCACAGAATTATGAAAAAACAAAACAAAACAAAAAATTGAGATGAAATAGTTGTTGCTTTAAACCCACCATGCTTTCGTGTGGTTTGTTATGCAGCAAAAGAGAGGTCAGAGAATTTTATGAGGATGGTTTTATGGATGTCATGAGTCCACAAAGGCATGAAAAGGGAAGGTAAACAAGCGGTAATCTAGCTTAGAAGCAACAAAGCCCACATGGAAGAAGCACACCAGCCTGCGTGATCATAAGGTATCAAAGGGATCAGGTATCAGGCATCATCAAAACAAAAAATCATATCATTGTGAATGAGGGGGAGTGCAGAGTGGGGACCCAAAACACATCTGTAGGCAACTGGACATCGCTTGCAGAAAGGTCACGGGGAGGAGAGGAGCCAGTCAGGTGCAGTGTAGCAACGATGAAACATACAACTTTCCTCTAGTTTCTAAATGTTTCCTGCCCCCGCCCCCCACTATCATGATCCCAATTCTACCTTACAAAACTGGCTAGACCAGAGGATGTACACTGGTACAGATAACAACTGGAAACATAGGGAATCCAGGACAGATGAACCCTTCAGGACCAGTGGTGAGAGTGGCGATACCGGGAGGGTGGAGGGAATGTGGGGTAGAAAGGGGGAACCGATCATAAGGATCTACACATAACCTCCTCCCTGTGGGACGAACAACAGAAAAGTGGGTGAACGGAGATGTCAGACAAGGCAAGATATGACAATATAACAATTTATAAATTATCAAGGGTTCATGAGGAGGGGAAAGCAGGGAGGGAGGGGGGAAAATGCGGAGCTGATGCCAGGGGCTTACATGGAGAGCAAATGTTTTGAGAATGAGGGTAACGAATGTACAAATGTGCTGTATACATTTGATCTATGTATGGATTGTGATAAGAGTTGTGTGAGCCCCCAATAAAACGATTTTTTTTAAAAGGAATGAAAAAGGTGAGGAAGGCACAGAAATGCTTTCACAAAAGTGGCATTTGGCCAGATGAGTAGAAATTTCCCCAGGCAGAACTCGAAGGGAAGGGCAGTGACCCCACACAAGGAAAAGCACAGAGGTGTGAAATTATACAGTGTGGACAGAGAACCACAAGCAGTTTGTGATGGATGGCTTGTGAATATGAGGAATGGGGAGCTACAGGAATCTGGAGAGAAAACTGACAATCCAGGAGCCTGCCCCTGGGGATTCATTCTTTACCCAATGGGATACTTGGGACTTTATAAAGCATCCAAAAACCTCATTGCTGAGGAGTGCATTCTGACTCATGACAATACCACGTGTTAGTTACCATGTAGAACTCTCTATAGGATTTTCTTACAGAGGAGCCCCAGCGGATAGTCGTTAGTGGCCTCGTTAAAAGATGGGCAGTTCCAAGTTAGCAGCCACTCCACTAGAGAAAGAAGTGGCAGTTTGCTTCCATAGAGTTACAGGTTTGGAAACTCTATGGGGGCAGTTCTACTCTGTCCTGTAGTGTCGCTCTGAATCAGAATTGACTCAGTGGCAGTGGGTTGGGTTGGGTTAGGTTTGGGATTTTTATCAGAAAAGAAACTTGGTGATTAGCCAGCAATTTGAACCCACCGGTGGTTGGAATCCCATGGGATAAAAAAAACAACAACTTGGCAATTGGCTTCCATAAATATTACCATAAACCAAACAAACTCACTGCCATATTGATTACAACTCATAGCGACCCTATAGAATAGGATAGAACTACCCCTGTGGGTTTACAAGGCTGTACATTTTTACAGAAGTAGAAAACCTCATATTTCTCCTATGGAGCAGTTGGTGCTTTCAAACTGTTGACCTTACCATTGGTTAGCATAGTTACCCAATATGTCACCAGGGCTTCTTCCTGAAAATCCTATAGGACACTTGTACTCTGTCCTATAGAGTCACTCTGAATCAGAATTGACTTAATAACACATAAAAAAGAGTAAACAAACCACAACCTGAAGAAGAAGCACATAGTCAGGCCTTTCTACTACTTGGTGAGTTTGAACTGTCAAACTTAGGTTGCACCGCCCAGATGCCGGTTCTTTGTTTTAGGCAACTATTCTGGTATGAGTAAGAGATAGACTGTGGGGCAGGGTAGCAGGAAATTGAAGAGAAACAAGCAGGAGACGTTTGTAATAATCTAGAGTGAGAAAATGAGGCCCTGACTAGGGCAGTGGCAAGGGGAAAGGAGAGGAAGAATGGTT